CGCACGTTCTATACCCCCCTCAAGCCCCTTAAAAACCCCCCGGACCCTTCTCAGGAGCCCCCAGCCCCATTTGGAGCCCCAAACCGCCCCTATAGAGCCCCCACAGCCTCCATACGTCCCCAACCCGCTCGCCCTCAGCCGCCTCTAACATGGCGGCCGCCGCCTCCCCCTCACGGCAGCGAGGCCACGCCCCCCGCGCGGCGGCGCCGCTGATTGGCTGCTTCTACCCCAGCAACAACGCTGATTGGTTGCTGCCGCAGCAGCGCTGCGCTGATTGGTTGAGAGGGGCGGAAGGCGGGTTTTGGTCTTGCGGGGAGAGGGCGTGGTTTTGGCTGGAAAGGGGAGGGGTCATGGGGAATGATTGACATGGGGATTATAATGAGGGGTTGGGTTATGCAAATGAGAGGCCTGGTTTGTTAATGAAGAAAGGGGAGAACTCGATAATTGATGACATCAGGGAGATAATGGCTAATACCTAATTAATAGGCAATTAGAGCTAATAATTGCTAACCAATGAGTAATTACAAAAAAATAATTGCTAATTAATGGGCATTTATAGATAATAACTTTTAATTAATGGGAGAAATAACAGCTAATAATGGGAAATAATTATTAAAAAATTATGAAAAAATTATTACCAATTCGGAAACAATAAGCAATTATTAGTCATTACTTCGTACACTTTGTCTTTATTGTTTATTGTTTCTTATATATTGATAATTATTACCGATTAATGATGCCAAATAATTAGGAAATAACAGGAAATAATGACAAATGTTCCAGAAGTAATTATTAATGTTTGGGAAATTCTGCTTAATACATGAGAAAAAACGACTAATAATGGTGAATAAACGAAATATCGCGATTATTAATTAGGAACTAATTAGCAAAGCTCGGCAATTCCCCCCCTCCCCTCCCCCCCCTTTTCCAGCTGTTCCCTGGAGCAGCCGGGGGGGAGGGGCGGCAGCTGCGAGGTCACGTGACCCTTCTCACACCCCCCCCCCCCCCCTTTCTCCCCCCGTTTTTGG